GTCTCCAACTTGCATCAAATGTATTAAAAACTAAGGTACAAAGGTGACTTTTACTAGCAGCTGAACAATACTAGATAGTTTGTTCACAGTAATGGTACAAAATGTTTGTATACCCTCAGTATATCGATTAATAATTATACCAAAAAAATTTAAACTCTATAATTTTTTGCATTGCTGTGAGTTTACCAGGCTGTATGATCATGTTCTAGAAGCATTTTCTCCTGACATTTTGCCTACATCTATGGCAGGCATCCTCAGAGGTTGTGAGGTTTGTTGGAAACTAGCCAAGTGGGGTTTATATATCAGTGGAATGTCCAGAGTGGGAGAAAGAACTCTTGTCTGTTTGATTTTTTAGTTTAATTGTGAAATCTGTGTAACTTTCAACATCAAAATCCAAAAGTCACAAACCATTGGGGTGAAATATATTACTGCCAAGTCATTTTACTATACACATATCATTTTTATATTAGTTAAAGGGCCACACTTTCTTTACCTTTAAAAGCAGGGTGATCAAAGATGTATCACAGACAGCTACGATTAGAACTATTAACATGAATTTTCAAATAAGAATTTTCAAAATACAAACATTTTTACTCTGATAGAATTATAACATATTTGCCCCATTATCCATTGCCACAAAACCACAGGTGAACTGCTGCCTCCCAGACAGCCATGTCTGCAGCATGCAGTCTATGACTCAGTAGATCTCGGAAGAAGTGTGGATCTCATCGAACAGTTCTACATGGAGCAGGGCCTAGAGATGCCTTATCTCCATGGTGCCCTCTCTCACACACCAATTCCCAGTGAGGGAGAAGTACATGTGGCCTCCACCCAGGCCCGTAGCCAGGATTTTTTTTTGGGGGGGGGTTGAGTCTGAGCGAAAGAGGGTCTACCCTAGCAAACCTTTTTAATTGTTACCACAATCCCCCCATGCATATGGGATATATTGTGTATGGTGATCAGATCATGATATGAATAAACATAACAGTATAAATAATGCACCAGTAAGGCCTTCTCGCGGACCACCATGAGAATTTCAGGGGGGGGGGGCTGAAGCTACATGCCTGCCTCCACCACAGGTAGACAAAATGTACATGGTGAAGTAGATGGATGTCCAGCCTGCCCCATCCGTCAACTGCTTGATGCTTTCCCTGCAGCCCTGATACAGGGATGGTACCACCATCCTTGAGAAGGTGGTATGGTAGGGGGGGCTCCATCTTAAATTCTCCTTCCCGAGTAAGCTTCTCAATTATCTCAAGAGACAAATCCAGCTCTGCCTTCTCTTTAACCTATAACTGTCCATGGGCACTTCCAGTCCAGATTGAGAGGCTCCATGTTGTGCCCATGCCTCAACAGCAGCAGCAACAGGAGAAGAAATAGGAATAGAAGCAGCAGCAACACCAAGTACCCACCCCATTCCTCATTATGTATATAAAATATAAGTGTTGGGTTAAAACATGTTATTATAGTGTGCTTGTGTGCGCTAGCCAGAATCCCAGACAAGTATTTACTTTGTAAATGAGATTACCACAAAAATTGAAATGTGTACATTGTCTGATCTATCTCGTCTATCTACATCTATCTTGTTGAAGTGGATGAAACAATATTCCATGGGGAATGGGGCTGCGATTTCTGATCGGCTGTGCTGGACTCATGGGATTAAAATTCCTAGTAACCAAAACAGCCTTTAAAGAGGTTACCTGCCAGGCATGTTGCAATGGTATTCTGCAACGAATGCATGCACCTACATTTTGTTCCTGTTATATTTTCAGATTTATAGCATTAGATAATATAATCAATAAAATGCCACAAATGTTGTACTAATTGAATGATCACAAATGTTGTGGGCAATGGACAGATGGACTCCTACACTCTACCACATCTTATTGTTATGAAAGGTGGCTGAGAAGCTAAAATCCCCTGCTAATCAATTACATCAAACTTTAATAGAAAAAAAACCTTGTTATTACATCAAACTTTAATAGAAAAAAGTTGGTGTACAATGATATCATGAGGCTACAGCATGTGAGATCGAAGAGATGAGTCCACTTTGCCAGCACTTATTTCCCTTGCATCACAATGAGTCAGAAAATCTTAAATACAATTCAGAACTCAGAATTTCACCAAATCAATAAAGTGTTTTTTTCCATGACACGTTTCAATGAAAGGTTTCACTGAAATGTGACAGAAATATGCAGCACATTGGTTGATGGAAAGCTCTATTCTAGCTTGACACAATTTTTGGTCCATGTATGAATCTATACAATGTTCTTGTTCTGATGCTGATGGATCATAAACCTTTCTCAAGATGAGATGAGATAGCTGTGCCATCTCAGCTTGAAGGCAGCAGAGTGCATCCCTCACAACAAGTAGTCATCATGGGTCCACAGTTCCATATGTCACTCCATCTGTACACTTCCTTTGGCATCCTTGTTTTTGTGTGACTTGCTTATGAAAGTTCTAGGCATCACATTACATAATAATCGCAAAATAATATATGACAGCACTAATGGAATTTAAGCCTTCATATGTAATCAACAGAAGTCCAGCTGCTAATCTGAAAAACAATAATTTAGTGGAAACTTTTTAAAAGTTTGCTAATGAAAAACATGGAACTGAGATGGTTAAAGCAAGGGCCAAGATCCTATAACTTAATTGCATAGCATAATCACTATTTGTGGAGTTAGATGGCAGTTGTCCCATGTCACAGTTAGGCTCCCATTGAATGGAAATTGTGCCTTCATGAATTCTTGGAGATGATTGCATACATTTCATTTGTGCACTGAAAAATGCTCTGTTATAGCTCTACAAGAAATTGCTAGCTGTACAATGGCCATACTCCTCAACTAGGCCTGTGCAGCCTTGACCTGCGAGCAAGCAATGTGCAACTGACAAGAAAATCACCCAGATGTCACTTATATATCCATGCTGGTTTATGCCACTGTCTCAAATCTGGACAGATCACAATTACTTATTATAGCTTTTTTTCTCATTGGAACCCCTGATTGAAATTGCTTGGTTAGTTCATTGGTCTTTTCATTGTTCCATTAATTCTAAATGCTTTGGTATAATAAAGGATATGTTTTCTGCAATATGCCTTTCAAATCTTTTCAGTGTTCTTTCCTCATAAGTGTATCATTGTGTTATTGTTTTAATCAGAAATATTTGAATTGCTATTCAGGGTTAAATTTTGTCCTGAACATGGAAGAAAACATCTTAGATGGGAGGGGCAATGGAAGCAATGACTTGTGATCAGGTGAGCTGGACTCATGGGAGTGAAATCTCAAGAAACCAAAACAGCCTTAAATGATGCTCGTTCTTGGCACCTTGTTATCATTTTTGTGGCAAATATGAGTCAGTGCTATCTTTATACATAAAGTACCTCTAATAGTAATGTTGACCACAGCATGAATTGTTCACATTTCATGTGGCTCAAAATGTTTCAAGGAGAAGATGAATAACCTCACCGACCAATGCCTCGATGGATGCTGGAGAAGATGCTGAATTTGACAGTTACAGTTACTTGCTTTAAATTGTTTAAATGTGTTTGGGTAAGTTTGATTTTGTTTTATTCTAGAACATTCTGTCCTTTGCTACCTTCTGCTTGTCTGTCTGATTATTTTTCTATTCATCCATCCATTCTTATATATTATAAGGAAATAATAGATTCTTTCTCTTAATCCCTCCTGCAGTGGCACATGTAGAATAACACTAGGATTGTGTTTTTATGTTTCTTAAAGTATTTTCACATGCACCCTTATATGCTTGAAACATTAAAATGAGGAGAGAGACATCATCTTTTTGCTATGTGATTTATATGTTTAGTGGTTATTTCATATTTTCCAAACCAATTTATAGATATCATTGTAAGTAGTCAATTTCCATATAAATAAATGTCCATTTAGTGGGGAAATATATATATTTTCTGATAATGGAAGAATGAGAATAAATCAGATTGTAACTAATCTCTCCTTAATTTTGTGTGATTGTTAAGTTTTCTTCACTATCAAAACAAAGCAGTACCTTTGGGAAAATTCTTCTAGCAGCCTACTGATGAATAAACTAGAGGGCTATCCATCCAGTTTTTATATTGGCACTAGCTATCTGTTGATCTACAAACAGTACAAATGCATGTTAGATTAAGATCACTCAAGCACTGTTGAAAGTTGGTTGACAGCATGAAATCATTCCAACTCAAAATGCTCAGTGAGTCCCTTCCTGTAGTATTAAACTTACGTCATCCTAGATTGTGTTGGAAGTGATTGGCCCAAGAAAAGACAATGTTATCCACAAATCTAGCAGTGAGTACAAGTCTCATAGACATACAATTCAGGATTATCATCTTCAGGAACAAAAACATTAGTTCTTTGTATTATTCAAAAAGCCAAAAGAAACAGATATCTAAACTCAGTATCACATATGCAACTATTTAGAAAGAAGAGGAGTATTGTGTTTTTTTTTTAAAAAATAGTTAGTTTATTTCAGACTGCACATGTGGTAATTACACAAAACTCCAGATATCATGAGTGACTACAATGACTTATATTATATCAATGCATATGAGCAAATCAATGTTAATCTATGAAAGGTGGTGGCGGGTTTGCAAGATGGGTTTATGATCTGTAATTGGGAATAAGGAGACAGACAGATGCTAGATGGGCAGACACTCCTAAAACCTAAAGCATATCATATCATAAAAACTGATTTAATTACTGAGAGTTCATATCTTGGAGAAAGGGAAAAGATTTTTAACAAATAGACCAATATTGCCTTCTCCCTTTAATAATGAAGATCAAAGCATAAGTAACCCCTTCTATTATTCTATTATAAATACAGACATTGAGTGGATGCATAAATTCCATCCCATGCATAAAAACATGAAAACTTCATGTACCAAAAACTTCACTGCCCAAGAAAAGAGTGTTTATTAAAATCAAAATAGCTAATATGCCAAAGTAGTAGTTTAACTGTTATTTTATTCCTCATCCTACAGGAAATACCAAGATACTGAAAAAAGCATGAATAACCTTACTTCCACATCCTCTTTTCTGTTGCTGGAATTCTCAGATATGAGAGAACTACAAATCTTATACTTTTTTCTCTTCCTAGCACTCTACTTGGCTGCATTGATAGGTAACCTTCTCATTGTCACTGTAGTTGCAGTTGATTCCCACCTTCACACTCCCATGTACTATCTCCTATTTGATTTGGCCATGTTGGACATTGGATCAATTTGTGTTGTGATGCCTAAGGCTATGGATATGTCCCTCAATAATGATAGGTCAATTACTTATGGTGGCTGTGTTGCTCAAGTTTTCTTTTTTATTTTCTTTGCAACCTCAAGTTATAGTGCCCTAACTATAATGGCTCATGATCGTTATGTTGCTATTTGTCACCCACTCCACTATGAGGTAATCATGCACAAAGGAGCCTGCCTACAGATGATAGCCATTGGACTGATTTGTAGTCTTATTTATGCCATATTACACACTGGTGGTACCTTTGCAAATGCTTTCTGTTCCAATATTGTCAATCAGTTCTTCTGTGAAATTCCACAATTAATAAAGCTGTCCTGCTCAGGCCTTTCTATAATGGAAATCGGGGTTCTTATCCTGTCATTTAGTACAGAATTGGGATGCTTTATCTTCATCATCGGAACATATGTACAGGTCTTTGCTGCTGTGCTTAGAATTCCTTCTTCACAAGGTCAGAAAAAAGTCCTCTCCACTTGTGTTCCCCACCGCACAGTAGTCACAGTGTTTGTAACCAGTGCGGTCCTAGCCTACGCAAGGCCAGCTGCTGACTCTTCTAATTTGGACACTGTTTTGGCCATAATATATACCATAATTCCTCCCATATCTAATCCATTCATCTATAGTGTTAGAAGCAAAGAGATCAGGACTGCTTTGCGAAATCTGTTACATGTTGCATATTTAAAGTTGTTTTGTGAGAATTGAGTTGTATAATCTTTCAAATGTTAATATTTTCCCCTGAACAATTAACTCCATACTTCTCATGTACTTTGTCCTCTCATGCAGGTTGGGGTCTACTTTTTTATTCTGTGTCATTTCTCAGAGCCTTTTAAAAAATAAGATAGGATATAATTTGATAGAATGTCTTCACCGAAAGATAATAAGTACTGTTGACTGCTTGTATATTCCCAGGTCCTCCTTGATTTTTTATAAACAGCCTGGGATCCATAGGAGTCGCTATTCCTTGAAGTCCCAGCATACGGCCACTCAAAGCATGCAGAAGTGTGCCCAGGTTCATTCAGTTTAAGGGTAAATTGTCTTCTCAGTTTCATTGCTGGGGCAATAAATGTTGCTGGAAAGGATACCTTTTTCAACAGTTTTCCTCAATGTACAATGTACATATATAGGATGTGGTAACTAAGAAATACCCTATGAACTCTATACAAGAACCTTGAGATGCTTCTCAAAGTGTTGGAAAGATAATTATTTTACAGGTTAAAAATTAATAAAAATATCTTAGCAAAAAAAAAATCCCCAAAATAACAACCCGATGAATTTTTAAGAATCTTCAGGAAGGTGAGGGATTAGAAACAAATGGGACAATTGAATGTATTCTGAATGTATCCTTTGAATGTATTCTTTAGTGGAAAGTTGCACTACTAAAAGCAAGTGTTTTGCCAAGCGTCAATGCTCATCTGGTTTGCCTATTCATAACTTAAAAAGGGATTTCAACAGGATAAAAAGAAAGGATGGAGAAAATTAGTTTTATTTGGAATTGTGTAAAGATGATGGTCATATAATTTTTAAAAGTTTACAAATGCCTCTTGAAATCAGCGATAGAAGTTGAATATGTAGAATGATAAGGTGAGTCAAGAATGGTGGATATCATGAACAAATGAACATTTGACAAAAAAGATGTTGCATGACATAACATTAATCATGTCCAGTGATTTTGTAAGAAAATATAAATAAAAGATGTATACATCACTTTATTGCTCACTGGACCGGTGTTCAGGGAGCATACAAGCTCTCTGTTATGCCAACTCCACTGGCTGCCAATTTGCTACTGGACTCAATTCAAAGTGTTGACTTTAACCTATAAAGCTCTGAATTGTCCTGGCCCAGCTTAAATGTCCAAACGTATTTCTCCCTATGAACCATCTAAGAGTTTAATATTGTCCGGGGAGGCCCTTCTTTCGGTCCCGCCTTCTACTGAGGCGTGACTGGCAGGGTTAAAATGTGGCTATTTGAACAAGCCTAATGTAACAGTCAAACATGGAATTAGATGAAAGTGAACATTGGAAGGGCTAGACAACGATCTTTGGACAATGAGGCATTGGTTCTATATGTTTTTCAAGGTTGCATTGAATGTCATTTTAATTCTGTTAATTGTATATTGTTGGACATCAAATTGTTTCTTGATTGTAAGCTGCCTAGAGTCACCTTCGGTTCGAGATAGGCAGGATAGAAATATCATAAATAATAAATACATGTAAAATGATGCACTGAACTCTAAGTAGGTTGTCAAAAATGTTCAAAAATACTTCAAATTTATGTTGTGCATGTCAGGATAAGGAAGGATCTTTTTCTGCCATGGGGTGGGCCTGCAAGAAGGTGAAAAGATCTATACATTAATGGAAATAAAGTAAAATAAAATTAAAGGTGGATTGCTAAATATAATCAGAAATGACTTTGGATCCCAGACATGGACTATTCTTCACATAGATAATAACAGCTGGAAGAATATTATATGCCCAAACTTGGAAATGAATTTAAGGATCAATGAATGGAAGAATGGATTCCCTAATTTGCAGAATTTGCCCAAGTTGCCAAACTGACATGGATTCTGAAAAAAAAAAGGGATTGAAATTTTTACGAAAGACTGAAAACTGTTTATGAAATTTTGAGCAAAAAGATTGTGATTATGGCATTTAGTAATCTTAGCAAGCAGAATTTAGTTAAACCTATAATGGTAGAATGGCATAGCTTTTGCTATTTAGTTATTTCCTTCTCTTTATTACAGTTCATTGGGGGCAGAGTTCTTTTGTAGCTTCGTAAAGTTGTTTTGTGTTGTCGTAGGTATGTATTATAATACTGTAGATCAGTGATTTAGTAATGTTAGTTTAGGGTTAGGGTTAAGTGCAATGCACTTTACACACACACATTATATGTTATAAATGTATAGTCCTTCTTTGCTACTTCTTTTTCTTGAGTGCTGTTTATTTCAATGTGAATTAGTTTGTATATGTTAAAGGCAATAAATATCACATTAAAAACTGAAATATTGTATATCTTTAAGTATAAAAGAAAAGCATATCCAGCATTTCTGTGTATAGTTTAAGATTGTTTGATAATTACAGCAAAAAGTAATAAAAATTCCAGAAAGTGTATATAAGATTCTCTATGCAGAACATTTCAAAAACTGTTTCAAAAATATTTCAAAAGCAACTGTCTGGTTGCCCCTGACATGACAAATAAATAAATAAATAAATAAATATTTTAAAAATATCTCTAAATTCACAAAAAATAACAAGAACAATTCCCAGAAAAGGGAAATTCAGCGACTTACTTTCCACTTCTTGGAGGGAAATTGCAGTAGAACAAAAAGAAAATGGGAATGATAAAATATATTAGATATCAAGTGGCCTGTCACACTCTCTTAAGGCAAAGTGTCTCCAACTTGCATCAAATGTATTAAAAACTAAGGTACAAAGGTGACTTTTACTAGCAGCCAAACAATACTAGATAGTTTGTTCACAGTAATGGTACAAAATGTTTGTATATCCTCAGTATATCGATTAATAATTATACCAAAATCTTCTGAAACTCTGTAATTTTTTGAGTAGCTGTGAGGTTACTGGGCTGTATGACCATGTTCTAGAACAGTGGTTCTCAACCTGTGGTCCCCAGATGTTTTTGGCCTTCAACTCCCAGAAATCCTAACAGCTAGTAAACTGGCTGGGATTTCTGGGAGTTGTAGGCCAAAAACATCTGGGGACCCCAGGTTGAGAACCACTGTTCTAGAAGCATTTTCTCCTGACATTTTGCCTACATCTATGGCAGGCATCCTCAGAGTTTGTGAGGTTTGTTGGAAACTAGCCAAGTGGGGTTTATGTATCAGTGGAATGTCCAGAGTGGGAGAAAGAACTCTTGTCTGTTTGATTTTTTAGTTTAATTGTGAAATCTGTGTAACTTTCAACATCAAAACCCAAAAGTCACAAACCACTGGGGTGAAATATATTACTGCCAAGTCTTTTTACTATACGCATATCATTTTTATTAGTTAAAGGGCCACACTTTCTTTACCTTTAAAAGCAGGGTGATCAAAGATGTATTTACTTATCACAGACAAGTGATAAGTACTATTAACATGAATTTTCAAATAAGAACTATTAACATGAATTTTCAAATAAGAATTTTCAAAATACAAACATTTTCAGTCCGATAGAATTATAACATATTTGCCCCATTATCCATTGCCACAAAACTGCAGGTGAACTGCTGCCTCCCAGATAGCCATGTCTGCATCATGCAGTCTATGATTTGGTAGATCTCGGAAGAAGTGTGGATCTCATCTAACAGTTCTACGTAGAGCAGGGCCTAGAGATGCCTTATCTCCATGGTGCCCTCTATCACACACCAATTCCCAGTGAGGTAGAGGTACATGTGGCCTCCACCACAGGTAGACAAAATGTACATGGTGAAGTAGATGGATGTCCAGCCAGCCCCATCCATCAACTGCTGGTACCACCATCGTTGAGATGTGTTTCCTGCAATATGCCTTTCTAATATTTTCAGTGTTCTTTCCTCATAAGTGTATCATTTTGTTATTGTTTTAATCAGAAATATTTGGCATGCTTATTCACTGTTCAATTTTGTTATAAACATGGAAGAAAACACCTTAGATGGGAGGGGGAATGGAAGTAATGACTTGTGATCAGGTGAGCTGGACTCATGGGCATGAAATCTCAAGAAACCAAAACAGCTTTAAATGATGCTCTTTCTTGGCACTTTGATATCATGTTTGTGGCAAATATAAGTCCGTGCTATCTTTATACATGATAGTAATGTTGAACAAAGCAATGAATAGACTGTTCACATGTCATGGGGCTCAAAATGTTTCAAGGAGAAGATGAATAACCGCATTTACCAGTGCCTCAATGGATGCTGGAGGGGATGCTGAATTTGACAGTTACAGTTACTTGCTTTAAATTCTTTAGATGTGTTTGGGTAAGTTTGATTTGGATGTATCCTATAGTGTTCTGTTCTTTGCTGCCTCCTGTTTGTCTGATTCTTTTTCAATCCACCCACCCCTCCTTATCAATAGAAAAAGTGATCTCTTAAATCCCTTCTATTAGTGGCATAAGTAGAATTACACTAGGATTTTGTTTTTCTATTTGCTAAGGTATTTCACATGCACTCCATTTGGTATTTTCGAAATCAAAACCATATAGATGCCACCGTAACCAGATAATTTCCATATAAATAACTGTCAATTTATTGGAGCAATGTATATATTGTCTGATAATGGAAGAAGGATAGTTTATTTCAGACTGTGCATGTGGTAATTACACAAAACTTCTTCAGATTTCATTAATGACTACAATGACTCATACACTCTTTGATATGTGGCTGAGCAAATTAATATTAATCCATGAAAACTAGAGGGAAATAGACAGCAGATACTGAAATCTAAATAATATTATAAAAGCTGATTTAACAACTGAGTTTGTTTTTTGGAGAAAGGGAAAACTTTTTAAAAAAATAGAACAATATTGCCTTCTCCCATTAAAACTGAAGAGCAAAGCGTAAGCAGCCCCTTCTATTATTCTATTGGAAATACATATACTGAAATCTAAATAATATTATAAAAGCTGATTTAACAACTGAGTTTGTTTTTTGGAGAAAGGGAAAACTTTTAAAAAAATAGAACAATATTGCCTTCTCCCATTAATACTGAAGAGCAAAGCGTAAGCAGCCCCTTC